AAACAATTTGTGTAGCTTTTGGGAAGTTCTCTGAAGTCATGGCATGGACTTTGGAAGCAAAATAGGCTGAGGCTGGGGTGGGGCACACAAGGACCAGAGGGGGTTTAAACAAAGTACCTATAGTGTCTGCTAAAATCATTTAAAGAATTTCATATTTACTATAGGAGTATCTGCATTTTTTAATTTAATAGAGAGGACAGTGTGCACCAAGCGCAAGGAAAGAATTACTTAAAAATAAAATTCTATTCATGCCTGGGGTTGTGAGGACCCAGTCTAACACATAAGACTGAAGTGCCATTGAAATTGAAAGTCTTTCAGTGGGAGAACTCTTTAACATGCCATTTGACATCTTTTACTATCTGGCTCTTGCCTACTTCTTTCTATACTCTGGCCTCTTTCTCTATACTCTAGGATTTGGTTATGATCTAGGTCTCCAAAACATCACGTTCATCTTCCAAAGGGGTATATTCTTGGTCACCTCCAAGAGGTCACAAATGCTGTTCTACCTGGAATTGACTGTCCCTCACTCCTTTCACCTGGATAACTTCTATACTTTTTTTAGTCTTGATTTTACCATTTCTTCAGTTGGGCCTCCCCTGACCCATAGATCCTCTCCCTATCTGCTCCCCCAAACTTTGCAAACCTTATTGACCATCAGTCTTCATTGTATTACTTGCCATATCCTTGTTTCCTTTTCAAAGGAAACTTAAAGCAGGCAGGGACCATGACTGCCTTACTTGCAGCTGTAGCTCCAGAGACTAGTATAGATATTCATTAAGTAAATATAAAATATGGAATTTGCAACAAGGCATTAGAGTATAAGTGCAATGTATGGAACTTTCTGGAGAGATGGATAGTGTATTTCATTTGAGCTTAAAATGACCTTCTTATACCATGAGACAATAATTTTATTTATTCCATTTGAGAATAATATCCTTCTTAATTTTATTCAGTAATTCAGTAATAATTTATACGCTTAAACAATCACACTATAGAGAGAGGCTGAACTCTAAATTGCCTAAATTAGCCCTGTGCTAGGCTGACTTCTGTGTGGCTCTTATGCTAATATTTCTCTTGAGTGTTTTCCCCTGCTGTATTTGTGTCATGCTGAAATTCATGGGAGTCTGGCAACCTGAGAATGTCTAATGCAATCATAAGGAAGCCCAATATCTCAAAGTCATTGAAGATTTGCGCTAACTGACATCTGAGAATCAAATTTGTGTAGCACTAACTCCTTCTTTGTGGATTTCTAAATGTTTCCAAAAACTTTAAGGCCTATCAGTTACACATAGAGGTGTACTATATTTACTGGAGAATGAAGATATAGAATTGCTTCCTTAGCAATTTCTCCACATTAGAAATACTGCTGATTGCCTGCTGAAGTCCTTTTTCCACCTACTTTTCTCTTGACCACCTCCAAAGAGGAGGCAGCAAACATCAAACATATATATATATATATATATATATATATATATACACACACACACACACACACACACATATACACATATTCATTCTATAATAGGAAATGAGAGAGGGAACAAAAAGAACTCACCTGCCCTTATTGCCTTCAAGTTTCCTGCCTTTGATGTTTGAAATTGCAGCAGCCATCTTGCAACAATGAGGCAACAAGCCTGAGGAGATGCTGACATATTGTGTTAGTCAGCTTTTCATCACTGTGACCAAAATACCTGACAAAAACAACTTTAGCTCACAATCTTAGAGGTCTCAGTTCACAGTCATCAACTCCATTGCTTTGGGCCTGATGTGAGGCAGAACCTCATGGCATAATGGCATGGGAGAGGGAATCTAAGAAGCAGGAAGAGTAAGAAACAAAGAGAAAGGGGAGGGGAAGGGACCAGGAACAAGATATAGACAGAGGCCATGTCACCCAGGACCTACTTTCCCACCTCCTAGTAGTCCGTTCAGCTAAAATATCAGCAAATGGATTTCAGCATATGAATTAATATCAGGATATCCTTATTAGCAAATGGATTAATCCACTGATGAGGGCAGAACTCTAATCATTGCCTAAAAGCTGCAATTCTGAAACTTGCCTTATTGGGGACCATGCTCACAACACATGAGCTTTTGGGGACAAATCAAGGATGGCAGAGTAGAAAGGACAAACTTTAGGTCACTGAGGACACTGTTGAATAGGTGATCCAATGTCAGTAACCTCCATCTCCAGATTCCTTGCTACATGGAAAAGATATCACCACTGAAACTACTATTAGGTGATTATTCCACTATTCGTTTCTAAACACAAATTATTGCAAAAAAGTACTTTAATGCTTCCTTTGTGGAAACTTAAACAAACAGAACTAAATTCTTGACACCTGACCAATTATACTTGGGGAAGAATATTGGATTTAGGGAAGGAATCTAGAAAAGAATTAACTTCATTTAAAAGGTTTGGTTATTTTAGTCCTAGAAACAGGCACTTTCACTAGCCTTTATCTTTGGTACAAGTTCTGAGGGATGTGTATTGCAGAGAACCTTCTGTATGACTAAATACCACACTAGGAGCTGAGAGATCTAAGATCAGATTAGGGGAGCAAGTCCTGACCTTTGTGCTGATCAGAAGACCTTGACTGGAGGCATTCATAAGGAAGGAATGCCAAGACCTGATTAAGTTAGGGCAATTACTGTGGCAAGGGGACTGCATTTATTAGTTTAATGAATCAGGGAATACCTCTCCAGTGAAGATGTTTACACACCCACAGTCAACCCTGGAGCTAGCCAATAGTGTTAACCAATAGTAGAGGGGTGGGATGGCTCTTGGAAGAGAGAACAATACATCCTCCCTATCTGTAAATGAGGGAGTTGGAAAAGCTGACCCGGTGAGACTCTGTCCAGATCTAAACCAGCTGTGATACTATTAGCAGAGTGCATACCTATCTTTGCAGTTGCCTTTTTTGTTTTTTTGTCTCCATTTTTTTTCTGCTTTACTTTGTAATTTTCCTTTTCTACCTCTGAGCATAGGTCCCTGTGAAAGAAAAAGCTCAAAATGAAAAAGACAGCCCTTAACATAGCTTAGGCTTGGGCTGGGGAAAGGAAATGAAGCTAACATGGTGGCTTGTGAGGATCACTGGGCACTTCAGGGCAGAAGGGAGTGATGCCTTATTCATTAGGTGTATGGTGGACATGCCACCTTGGGGTGAATGATTTGAATGGTTGGACCCTCACAGGAGGTGGTATTTCTCAGGTTCCAAAGCTCAGGCTTTTTGAATAGGAGAAAAATCTTGGGCAATTATATTTTCCTCTGATTTGCATTTTAAAAAAAGTTTTAGTGCCCAAATCCTTACCAAATCTCTCAGCCTCTTGAGGAAGTGACAAGGGTTTTGCAGGGAACATTTCTGAAGAAGAAATAGGCTCTGAGTCTCCCCCATGCCTCATCCACTTTGGTAAATACTAGTTAAAAAATATAACCGCACTGAGAATTTTACCAGATGATTTCTGGAAGCTGACTTATGGACTAATTGGGCACTTTGGCTCTGCCGAGGAACAAAGACTTTTTTATTGGTCTTCAACTGAGGCATTTACCTGTCCGTTGGCGTTGGCTCATTCTGCACATGCTCAGTTGAAGAAAAATCTTCATATTGAATGCAACCTAGCACAGCGGCAACACCCACAACCTTACACCCTGCCTGACCCTGTGCATCTATCCACTCCCTCTAGTTGCATTTTCGCCCTGACAAATCTAACATTCATAGGGAGTATAGAGAACAGAGTAAGTGTTGGGTGTTTGGGGACAATATACAACAGGGCTTAAAGTCTCGTTGTGTCACTACCTTACTTTCTTCTCTCCAGGTTGTCTCTAGTGAGGGAGGCGCTGCATAGATGTTTGCTGAGTTTAGGGCAGAAGCGGGAGAAGCTGTCTCTCTAGGTTACTGTTTGTTGTTGCACGCCTTCCTAGACAGTTTTTGTTTGGTCTTTTTCTTGGACAGTCCTCCACCCCCAGCCCTCATCTTCATTGGAATGACAGTGTGGCACTGAAAGCATCCACTGCCAAGCACGGTCATGAGTGACAACCTCTCCCCACCTCTTTTCTTGCTTTCCCATTCATTAGCATCCTTTCCTTGCCTTTTTTCCCAGCAAAAACTGAGAAAAGCTTCCTGCGATTGCAAAAAAAAAAAAAAAAGGTGGAGAGCGTCCGCAGTTGCGAGCATCTCGCCAAAGAACGTGCTTCCGTGGACCCCGCATTCCCAGCCCCTAGGTCGCTGCTGGGCGTGGAGGCGACGACCCAGACCAGCCCTGCCTCAGCAGCTGCAGCCCGCGCGCCCCACTTGCCAACCCCCTGCGCCCTCTAGATTCCCGGCGCCCGCCGGTTCACCGTGACGTGGCCGGAGTTGCACGCATGCGCAGCTTGGCCCGATTCCCCCTTTCCCTGGGCCACCGCCTCCCGACGGGCTGGAAGGGGCGGGGCCTGTGGATCTGGCAGCGCGCGGATCGAAGTGGGAGGAGGGCGCGTATGCGCGAGGCCTCGCGAGCCGGTCGGCTGCTGAGGCTGAGGGGAGGAGCTGAAGACAGCGGCTTCGGCTCCCGCCCGC